AAAATAAATGCGGAAACCTCGGATTTAAATCCGAGAGTTATGTGTACTTCAAAAAGTGAATGAGACAGATGAGTCATCCTAGAATGTGTGGACATCAAAATTATTCTGGCAAACCTTTTCTATAAAATACTTGATTTCTAATCATTATTTTTTTTTATTTTATATGTAATAGGCTTCAGTTACTTTTTTTCCACTCTGGATTTATTGTTTTTATTTTTATTTTTTTCAAATAATAATCTTATAATATTCGATTTACTTTTTTTTTCTTCTATCTTTCTCATGAATACAGAAATGTACGCCCTCTTCTATGTTGTAATCGAATATATTTTGATTGAGTGAACGTAATAAGCGAATAGAATTTTTTTCCTTTCCTGTGCATTGTTCAATCAATACGACAGGGTGTCGTTGATCTGAAGAAGTACCGTTTTTTTTAAATAAAAATCTAAAATTTAATTTGTTTTTTTTTTGTTTAAAAAGAATATGTTAAATTTTTGGAAGGAGAAGCTTAATTAGAATATTATTTACAACAATATCCATTAACTGATTATCGTCATATAGAACAATCTCGAAATGATTTAATTCGTGTTAAAAATCTTCTTAAATTAGGTGGATCAATTCGTTCATTTGAAGGTCAATGTTTATTAGCTAAATTATATTATGCTCAATCACGTTATGATGAATGTTTAACATATGTTAATTTAGCAATTAATTCAATACCAAATGATATTAATCAACAACCAAATAGATCTTCTTTATTACTTGCAGAAATTTGTGCACTTAATGGACTTTTATTAGAAAAAAAAATGAAAATTTATTTGAAATAATTAAATCATTTGATGATTCTTGTTTTTTCATATAATTGATTTAATAAATTCGAATTACGTCGCTGTACGTTTTCCATAAGAACTCATCTTGCATTCTATTTAGTCTATCTTCAATTTCTTTCATTCGTTCTTTCTTTTTAGACTTTAACTATTGTTAAAGTTGTTTGGAAACGATTAAAATCAATATAAACGATTAAATAAAATATACAAATTCAATTGTTTTCAATTTCAACGATTAAATAAACAAGCTGCAACAATTCAACGTGAACTTGATGGTCGGATGAAACAAACTAAATCTTTACAACAAGTACCATTAAAAAAAATTTCATTTATAAAAAAAACAAAAAAAATCTCGTTTTGTTTTTTAGCAACGTGGTTTAATGCTAAAATTTATACATAAAGAAATGGATTCATTATATGTTGATGAATTAAAAAAAAGTATAAATGATTTAATGAGTAATCTTGAAAGTTTACCTGTACATGGAGGATCTGAACAAAAATTTTTAAGTTGAAAACGTAGTAATAGTCATAATCGTTATCGAAGTTCATCTTTACTTTATTCATCAAATAAATCATTATATAATGAATCAAATTTTGAAGAGAATGATGTTGGTTTATCAAAATTAGCATTCGCTTTAAATTCTAATGTTAAAATAACATGTAAAGAAGTACATGGTTTAAAATCAATTCCAACAAATCGTATTGTTTATTGTACAATGGAAGTTGAAGGAGGAGAAAAATATCGAACTGAACATGCTGAAGCTGGAAAACCTGTTTGGGAATCTTCAGCTGAATTTCCAACAAATCAAATTTTACCTATTATTAAAGTTAAACTTTTTATGGAAAATCCAGTTACTTAGTTTACATGATAATAAACTTGGAAAATTATCTTTACAAATTGATCCTACTTTTAACAAGTGTTTACTATTGAAATTATATATAGAATAATGAATTTATCATCGAGGGTATTCAATGTAAATATTGACTTTGTTGAATGTATTCTAGAGAGATAATATTAATGACTTTATTAATAAGATAACAGTTCGTGTTACATTTTTTCATTTGTATATATATCAAAGAAAATAATTTCTGATTGATTTAACAAATAGAAATTAATATATGTTTATTAAATAAATGACAAAAACAAATGATTTTCAGGTATCTCAATATTGTTTTGCAACATGTAATTATCGTGAAAGAAAATCCAAACCAACTGAAACGATGCCACTTGAAGGTTATACTATTGATTATGCTGAACCTGATAATGGTAAAGAAATAAAATAAATAAAAATAAAAATAAATAAATATTTGACTATTAAAAGGTTTAATAATGCATGATGGAAAATATTTTCTTAAAGCTGTACGTGAAGGTGATGTTGTTACATTTGCAACAAATGAAGAAAATGAACGACATAGTTGGGTACAAGCATTATATCGTGCTACTGGTCAATCACATAAACCAACACCAATAACACAAATTAATAAATTAAATTCATCACAGGACAAAAAGATCTTTCAGGTTAATAATAACAACAATTTTGAAATCTAATATTTATCATTTATTTATTTAGATTCTGATCGTTCAAAAAATCTTGATTTTGATGAATATATACAAAGTGATCCATGTAAATCTGACCATCATGATTTATTTAAAACGTTGCAAACGGCAACATTAGATTTTCGACTTAATGATCCGTACTGTTCTTTGGTAAATATTAACAACAAAAAAAAACACACCATTTTTTTTCATTATTTTTAACTGTTTTATTTTTCTATCGACAAGAAAAAGAAAAGATAAATAATAGAAGTTGAAAGAGCTTTTCTTTTTTTTTAATAAATGATTAAACTTGGGCGACTGGATAAAATATTGTTTGTTTTGTGTAATTAAACTATTTATTATTTGTTAGGGTTGGTTAAGTCCAATACAAAGTTATGTACTTGAAGGTATTATTTATTTCAATTAAATAAAATTCTAATGTAATATATTTATTAAATAGAATATTGTTCTCGATATGGTGTTCGTGGTTGTTTAAGACATCTTTATTATTTAAATGATTTACTTGATAGAGCTGAACAAGAATTTATGATTGATCCTCAATTACTTCATTATAGTTATGGTTTTTGTACATCTCATGTTTCCGGAAATCGGTTAGATTATTTTAAAATATTTATTTTAAATAAATTAATTTGAGTTTTTATTTAGACCTGATAATAATGTTTCAACAATAACTATGGAAAAAAGAGATCGATTTATTGAAATAAAAGAACGATTAAAACAATTTCTTGAAAATCAAGTTACTAATTTTAGGTAAGGATATTTTATTAATCAGTTATATAGACAACATTACTTTATTTATTAGTATTAAATTTTAAATAAAATATTCGAAATAAAATTCTTATTTAATCAAAGATTTTATTCAAATTGAAAACAAAAACTAAAACCTGATCAATTCTTTTTAATTAACGTAGATAAATAAAGTATCATAGAACATATTTGAGAATTATTTATTTACTTAGTTAATTCATAATCGATAAAACTAGATTGGTTTTGTGTTTATTTCATCTAATAATCTTTATTTATTTATTTGTTAAGATTTTCATTTCCATTTGGTAGACCCGAAGCAGCATTAAAAGCAACATTAAGTTTACTTGAATGTGTTCTTTCAAAAGATATCTCAATACCAATATCTCGTGATGATATACGAAATTTTATTCGAAAATGTCTTGAAAATGCTGCATATTCAAATTATACACGTGTTTCAGATCAAGCCAAAGTTGAAGGTTACACCTTTTTTTTTTATTTATTTTTTATTTAACTTTTATATTGATCAACTACCGGGTGGCCCAAAAGTAAGGAAACAAACATGGTATGCTATAATAATGGATAATAGATTGTTAATGATCTTTTTTACATTTTTTATTGATGTGGAAAGCTGAAACTCTCAGACATAAAAGATCTTAACTAGATATACATATAATAAAAATTTTAGCTCTCTACATCAATAAAAGGCATGAAAAATATCATTAACAATTTATTATTTGTTATTATAGCATACCATTTTTGTTTCCTTACTTTTGGGCCCACCAGTATTAGATAAAACAAATAACATTAATGTCTACAGGTTTAGATTTTAAAAAATATTCTTATTAAAATACCTAAAATAGTTAATCAAACAATAACCATTCTAACATCTTATTGATATTCCCATAAAGTTAGTTTATGTCATCTATGTTATTTATAAAGAATAAATTATTTAGATTGTTCGAATATTGTAATCGTCCCTCTTAAAAGAGAATATATTTATCTCGAAGAATTATTTTCAACAATTAATAATCATTCCATTCACCATGAATGAACATTAGCAATGAATAAAGATGAGCTTATTATTAATATTAATATATCGAGAACTAATTTTATGACAATTATATCATATCGAGATTTGCTTTTTTTCTAGAAAAATCTTTCGAGATAATCACAATTAAAATGGTTTTTTTTCAATAATCAATATAGGAACTTATTGGTTTTATTAGAAAAGAGTTCGAAGCGTTTCTATTTCACTATATTAAACGCAACATTGTTAAATTGAATAAGTTAGATGATTAGATATGAGAACGAACAAATCGGTGAAATAAAGTATTTATATGTTGAAGACTAATTAATAAAATATATTTCTAAATAAGACTAACTAGTTTATTTATTCGACATGTTTATTGTAAATATAAATATGATTATTTCAGGAGAACGAGAAATGCAGCAACAAAATGATGATGGTAATTTATTTGTTTCGTAGATATTTATCTTTGTCAATAGATATTATTTATTGTTAAATTGTTTTTTGCTTTAATTGGTAAATAATCTGCTTTTGCTTGTTTAGTTAGATTTAAATTATTGTTCTGTTCATCTTTTGTTCTCTAATTATTCATATTTGATCGATTGAAGAAAAAAAATCGTAGTATGGATTCTATTTATAGTTTAATATGTAAAAGAAAAAAAATGTTTTTTTTTCATTTAAAATGATAAAATGAAGAAAAAAACGAAATTATTTAGAAATGGTTTATATTCGTGATGATTCTCCAAGAAAAAAATCGATGATCTAATATATCTAGCTGAATTATGTATTGAATTATTACAACAAGATAGTGAACATTATCAAGAAGCATTTAAACAATATAATGATTTATTAATTGAACATGAAGAAATTTTTTGGTCTTTATTTGCTGTTAATATGGAACATGTTATTGATCAACAACCTATTGAAAGTTAAAATTCATTTCCATTATTTCAATTATTAAACGATTATCTTCGTCAACATGGTATTGAAATTTTTATTTAAATAAATTTATTTATTTATATATTATTTAGATACATTATCAAATAGTCGATTTCATCAACAATTACGTGATACATTTGCTCCATTAGTTATTCGATATATTGATCTTATTGAACATGTATTGCACAATCAATTCATAAAGGTTTTGAAAAAGAAAATTGGAAATCAAAAACGTAATCAGTTGTTTTTTTATTTGGTTTAAATTATAAATTAAACAATATCTTATTTTAGCAAGGACCTGTTTCGAGAAGTACTTAAAAAAATAAATGAAAATGATGATTAATATCAACAACATTATTATGACATTTATCATAGACATTTATCATTCACGAAAAGAAATTTGTAAAAAAACATGATGTAGTAAAGAAATTTGTTAAATACAATTGATCTTTTACTATAAATAAATAAAAGATTTTTTTCGTATAATTGGTTGAATGAATTCGAATTACGTCGCTGTATATTTTGGATAAGAACTCATCTTGCATTCTATTTAGTCTATCTTCAATTTCTTTCATTCGTTCTTTCTTTTTAGACTTTAACTATTATTAAAATTGTTTTGAAACGATTAAAATAAAAAATACAGATTCAATTGTTTTCAATTTCAACGATTAAATAAATAAATAAACAAATTCAATTTTTTTCAACATCAACGATTAAATAAAATACAAATTCAGTTGTTTTTTATATAAACAATTAAATAAATAAAACAAATTCAATTTTTTTCAATATAAACGATTAAATAAAATACAGATTGAATTGTTATCAATATAAACCATTAAATAAAAAATATAAATTGAATTATTTTCAATTTAAACGATTAAACACATATTGAATTTTCTTCAATATAAACGATTGAATAAAATACAAATACAATTTTTTTTGAATATACACTATTAAATAAAAAATACAAATTCAATTTTTGTTCGATAAAGGCTTCTAAGATTTTGATTTTCTCATATCAAAGTTTCTTACTTAGAATCGAGTGAATCTTCACCAAGTTTTACGAAGATTTTTCTCGAAAGAAACTTTTCCATTGTTTATCTTACCAAGTTTAGAGATAAACGCACGTCTCACTAAGTAGAGTACGTACTCAGTATACACACGTGCTTAGTCTTAGTGAGAAGTTGCTTTCATTTAAAATTTTAACGACTAACTTAATCGTATTTTATTTCATTACCTACGGCCTGGAAAAAATCAGTCACATCAAAAGTACTTTTTCAGCTAGTTTCAAGAAATGCCAAAGCTTAAAAGAAGATCTATGTCTCAAAGAAATGTCGAGATAGCTAGGAGAATGAGAGAACGAAGAACTGATGATGAGCTTCGCTTGTTAGATAATAGAAGACGAGCAAATTCTCATAAAATTGAACGACGAAATAATGAATTCAAAACAGAAGAAAATAAGCGAAGAGCCGAAGCTCTGAAAACTTCACGACAAGATGATGAATTCAAAACAGAAGATAATAAACGAAGAGCCGAAGCTCATAAAATTGAGCGACAAGATGATGAATTCAAAACAGAAGATAATAAACGAAGAGCCGAAGCTCTGAAAATTGCACGACAAGATGATGAATTCAAAACAGAAGAAAATAAAAGAAGAGCCGAAGCTCATAAAATTGAGCGACAAGATGATGAATTCAAAACAGAAGATAATAAACGAAGAGCCGAAGCTCTGAAAATTGAGCGACAAGATGATGAATTCAAAACAGAAGAAAATAAACGAAGAGCCGAAGCTCTGAAAATTGAGCGACAAGATGATGAATTCAAAACAGAAGATAATAAAAGAAGAGCCGAAGCTCATAAAATTGAACGACAAGATGATGAATTCAAAACAGAAGAAAATAAAAGAAGAGCCGAAGCTCTGAGAATTGCACGACAGGATGATGAGTTCAAAGAAGAAGAAAGAAGAAGAAATGCACTAAGAATGCACAATAGTAGAGATAATTACAAAAGTAGTTTTGATGGCATGAAATCAAATTATGAGTCAAAAATAAAAGAAGGACCTACTCATATTTGCAGCTGTTGTGGTGGTTTATGGTTTGAGTATTCAATCAGAGAATTTACAGTTGAGATGTTAACAAACAAAGGATTAAAAAAAGAATTTATCGATACAGTTTGTTATCTCAAAAATACAATCATTAAATTATGTGTCACTTGTAGAAAGGACATCATGTCGAATAAGGTACCTAATCTCAGTCTATCTAATGGTTTAGCATTCTATGAAGTACCGGATTGTTTGAAAATCTTGACTGAATTAGAAGAAAGATTAATATCGCCAAGAATTCCTTTTATGGTTATTCGAAGTTTAGGATCTTGTAAACAATTCGGTCTCAAGGGTAACCTTGTAAATGTTCCCATGAATGTTGATACGAATGTTTCAGTATTGCCTAGAAGTTTCAGTGATACTCACACGATTCAATTGAAACTCATGAGACAAATGAAAAATAA